ATATTTGAACGATCGACAGTCCCAATCAATAGGAGGAGAGAGAAAGGATCGATGTAATGCAAGTGGCGTATGCGCAATTCTTGAGGTTGACCTCAGCGATCCTGTGTGACGCCGAGGTTCGTTGTAACCTCGTGGCACACCCCAGCTGAACTGACCTTCATTGTGCGTATTTCGATGTAGTGACACTCTTACGAGTAGGAATGGGAATGGGTAAACAAACTTTAATCCTCCGACAAATCCTCATACGATTTACATAAAATAAATCTTTTTCATGTAATAAAACTGCATAACAAGGAATGACAAGCTATTCGGCTTTCCGCAGAATCCTCTTCCTGAAGGGCTTACTAATCTCTTCTACTAATCATAAAATCAAAAGTTTAATCTGAGATTTTCCAGCTAAATGTCGAAAAGGACAACGTTGATTCTTTTTATTAGCCTCAATTTTAAAATTTAGAATGACTAAATTTAAAAAAGATTGATGAAAATATGAAGAAATACAAAATTTCCAAGGACTCTTATGCCCGTGTATGATTGTAAAGCTTTTCAAAGTTGACTCACTTTCGCAAAGAGCAGGGTCCCCTAGAATCATTTTTAGGACCAGAACTACTGGTAGTGTGGGGAAGTGCACTGTTTTTATTTTATTTATTTTTTGAAGAAGAAGAAGAAGATAACGACATACCCTCTACCGTATATATGATTTGGGGTAGAAAAAATCTGAGTATATGAAATATTCAAAAAAAATCTTGGAACTGCGGGATTGCCTTTTGAAATTTGAAACTTTGATAATAAACAAATAGTAAGGACAACGCTGTGCTGGGAAAATGAACGGCAGACAATTTAGAAACACAGCAGACTAATGTTCCTCACCATTGATTTCATTGTGTAGTAGACATTGAGTAGCTTTAATTAAGCTTTTACGATTTTCAGGGCATTTTGAGATTAGCAGTAAATCTTTTCAATCATTTAGGCTAGAGTGACTACAAGAGTTGGCGGGGGTATAAAGTTTATGCTATGTCGACTGCGTAAGAGGGACTAAACCCAAAACTCAAAATAAGGCCAATGTGGAGTTTGAAAACTGCTCCAATTACCTACTCGACCGCAGTTTTGTAGGAGAGTTTGTTGAAGAATAAAAACCATGGTGAATGATACCAACTCTGCTTTGTTCGGTAGTTGAGTGTTCATACCCACTGAACAAAAAGTGGTTGAAAAAAATATTTTTATGAGAAACAGCAGGTAACAAGAGCCTTTCGTGCGGTTCGAGTGGGTTACTCAGTGCGAGGAACAAATATGGGTAAAACCAATTTGACAGGATGACTGGGACTCCGATGAATCACACAAGTGAAAGGCTTCAGAAAAAACGAGTTGACCAGCAATTATGATAATTTGCTCTAATGTGAAAAAGCTCTCTA